TGACATTATTATTTAGATCTCGTTTAGCATGAAATACTTTTAGTTTAAAAGAAAAAAAATTAAAAAATTTATAACTTATACCAAAAAATTAAATATTTCATTTTTTCTCTACTTTTTGCATATATTTTCATAAAAAAATCAAAAAATTATTCCAAACATATTAATTTTTTTTACCTCATATTTTAACCAAAAAATTTAAAAATTACTAAAATAACTTATTCTCAAACGAGGTCTTATTTTAAATAAATATATATATATATAAATAATTTACCATATGTACTTTTTTAAGAGTGCACATTGCAGCCACTTCATAATTCCATGTAATTGTTATTGAATTTAAAACTCTATTTAATTTTTTCATTTATTTTCAAGATACTTCTCACTCAAATTTCGATATTAAATCCAACACTCATCAACATTTGCCAATAACAAAAGGATTTTGCTAACTTGTACTCAAAATTTTGCTTGGGTACCTTTGTATACATTCTAGGTGAAAGTAGGTACAATAAATAATGAGTTTAATTAACAAGACATTAGTTAATTAAATTTAAAATAATTATACATTATTTATGCACGCACCCTTATGTATGTATAAACATTTTGGGTTTTAATTAATTCTTTTTAATTTTTCAAAAACCTTTGAGCATACATAAAAATTAGAATGTTTTTAAAAAGTTAAAAATTTGAAAAAATATATATATAAAATACGTAAAAAACAGTGAACCTTTTTTTTTGGGACTTATTTTTGGCTTTTCAGGCCAAGTTTGGCATGACCTAAATAATACAAAAAGTCAAAAAGTCACTATCCTATTTAAGTCACATCATCTTATTTAAATCACATCAGCTCTCTAACACATCACATCAAACCCAACCCAAACCCAACTCATATAAGCTAATAAGTCAAAAAGTGCACTTTTTTAGAACATCCCAAACCAACCCTCAAAATTTTTAAAAATTTTAAAAATATGTGGAGGGTAAAAATACAAAACTAGCCCCATTGGTAAATCGTGACTAAACCAGTACGGGCCTAAATGCTAATTAGGCCACAGAATGAATATAGCTCGTGTACAAATAATCATTCAGAAGCAAAGATATCCTTCTAAAAGGATATTCTCATAAATAATCAGGACTGTTAGATCTGCATTCATCAAACGGACAAATAGCACAGCATGTGGGCTATGGCCTAGACTAGAATTGACAGTGGAAAATACTAGGTCATCTTTCATCCAACGATCAGTGTGTAATACAACTTGGTCATTATAGGCTGACATTATCTTGGGAGTTCAATGAGAAAAGATACAATGATCTACTATTAAAACAATTTGGTCATTAGCACAAGTGACCTCTAACGAAAAGAAGAATATAGTGACCTCTAACGAAAAGAAGAATCATCCGATCAAAAAGGGAACAGTCATGCTGTAGAGCTCTAATTAGAATTGTTACAGTGTAGCTCTAATGAGCTGTTCATCTATTAAAAAAAAAATAGTAAAGTAAAAGATAAAAAATAAAAAATAAAAAGACAAATTAATGCTTTATTAGAGGTCTATTTTTAAAGATCTAAATCATTTTTGAAAAGGGAATGGACAATCACAATAAGAATCAATTAACTTTAAAAGAAGAGACAAGTAACGTAGAAAAAGATAGGCGAAAAGTAATCCAGGAATACTTAAATGAATAAAGGTTAAGACCCCCTTGTGGGGGTCACCCCCTTGACCCCTTTAGTTTTAATTGGTCAACTTTTTTTTCTTTTTTTTTCTTCTCACCCAATCCCCAACCTCCATGTATGTGAGGGATTGTGGAAGTGGGTATTTTGAGGAGGTCTAAATCAATGCCCTACATAAATATTGTCATTTTTTATTTCATAGAATAACTTATAAGTATACTGACTTACCTGTTTGAAGGTCATCTTGACGCAATCACTGACTTTGATTTCCTTTGCAAATTAGATGATTGGATGCATCATTTCGCTATTTTTCTGTGGAGATAATCTCACCACCCATAAATATATTTTCAAATTAGTCTACATAAAATACATCAAAAAAGTTTTTTTTAAAAAAAATGACATAATTTAAAAAGTGAACACTAAAATATTAAAAACAATTAAAAAAAGAGATGATTATTTTCTTGGTTCCCAAATAGCAAATAAATAAATGTCACGACAGAACTTTTTTTTTTTTTTTTTTTTGACTTACCTGTTTGAAGGTCATCTTGACGCAATCACTGACTTTGATTTCCTTTGCAAATTAGATGATTGGATGCATCATTTCGCTATTTTTCTGCGGAGATAATCTCACCACTCATAAATATATTTTCAAATTAGTCTACATAAAATACATCAAAAAAAGTTTTTTTTTTAAAAAAATGACATAATTTAAAAAATGAACACTAAAATATTAAAAACAATAAAAAAAAGAGATGATTATTTTCTTGGTTACCAAATAGCAAATAAATAAATGTCACGACAGAACTATTTTTTTTTTTTTTTTGGAACTTAAACTAATACTTTTATTTTTTATTTTTTTAACATAACTAACACTCTTATTTGAGCCTATGGTGTAAATTTGGCCTGACCAGACCTAGTGAATATTCAGGCCTTGGGCAGGTCGGGCCTCGCATCTGGGCCTCGGCTCAGTTTTGGATGGACTTGAACATTTTTTTTTCCTATTGTTTTTACCAAAAATTTATTATTTTTCATTAAAAATGACACTAGGCCTTGGGCCAGACTTTGAGTGGGCTGATGGGTTGGTTCACGGATTGGGCCGGACTTCAAAATGACGACCAAGGCCTAAGCCCTCGGGCTTGACTCGGGTTTGGGCCTAATTAGACTGAGCCCACCTCGGACCAGGAGTCATTTTTACACTCCTGAGCCTATGAAATATTCTCTTATGATTTAAAATAAGGGACATGTTTGTCGCAAGTCCATTTTGTAAATTATATGGCATTGGTAGACTCGTGAAATTCATCACGGGTTCTATTTCGATAATCCGAACCGTTCAATGCGTAGAGTTCGTCGAATATTCTATCCTTATAAAAAATTACTTTGATCGGACATCGATAACTACTTGATCGGATCATATTTTTGTCAATAATTTATTTTGAAAATTATATTTATTATTGACAGAAATTTGATCCGATCAAATAGCTATCGATGTTCGATCAATGTGATTTTTTATAAGAATAAAATACTCGACAAGTTCTATATATTCAACAATTCGGATTATCAAAAGAGGACCCGTGATAGGCCTCCACAAATCTAACAATACGCTCCGATACGATCTCAGACCGAAGACAAACCTGGCCCTAAAATAAAAGTAAATCAAAATTAAGCCTATTGAAGGCGGTTCATGGCATGTGCGTCCGAAATATTCCTGGTAACTCAGGGTTATTGGAGAAATTATTCACTGTTTCAGGAGTAAGTTTAGGTGACATTCTAAATGAGTTTATTGGTTTAAATTATGGAATATATTATTTTTGTATTAGACTTATAAAAAAATGAATAAAGGTTGAGACCCCCTTTGGAGGTCACCCCCTTGACCCCCTTTAGTTTTGATTGGTCAACTTTTTTTTTTTTTTTCTTCTCACCCAATCCCCAACCTCCATGTATGTGAGGGATTGTAGGAGTGGGTGTTTTAAAGGGGTCTAAATCAATGTCCTAAAAAAATAAAGTACTAAATGTCAACTTGTAAATAGAACAAAGTAATATTCTAAAAGTATTGAATAATTACTTGGAGATGATGATGATTAAAAATCCCAAATATTCACTATTTTTTATGGTTTCCCACAATATTAAAGTAAAAAATACAGTATTTGAGAAACCAATCAAATATCACGTCATTTAAAGACTGGAGTGTGGAAGACCAACTACAAAACATAAGAAAATTTCATCTACTTTAAATTTATTTATTTATTTTTAATGACCATCATCCTCCACACATTGTGTCACTAAAGAATACGTAATTTTATCTCACTTGTCATTTGGTTTCTTATTTTAAAATTTGTTTAAAATAATTATTATGATTGGATAAAATATCATGCAATTTAAAATTTTAAAAATTTTATGTTAAAATTTGTAAGGTATATTGTAGTTTCTTTAAATTTAAGAAGTTAATATATATTTACTTGTGAAATATATTATAAGGTAAATTATAATTTTTATTCTTATAATTTGAATTAAATTTCTATTATTTTAATTTGAACAATTTAGTCATACGCTTTAAGACCAATTTTAATTTAATTATTCTATCTAAATTTCTATTAATTTTTTCTATGTGCAGACCTTAGCAGGTGAACAATTGTTCAAAAAATAAAAATAAAAATTTAACCCACAATATCTAGATTTCTGTTAATTGTTTCCACGTGTACACTTTAGGAGATAAATAAGTGTCTGAAAAATTATAAATTTTAACCTTCAACTTGAATAGAAAGATCAAATTAAAATTAGACTTAGTATAAAAACCAAATTATTTAATTTTGAATAATAAAAATTAAAGTGAAATTTAAATTAAACATGTTAAAAGTGTAATCTATCATATATTAGAGTGTTTTGTGAATGGTTTTTTTGGGAGTTATTTTTAGTTTTTTTTTGTCTTTAATGATTTTTTTTTTCTCAAAAAGCTTGAAGTTTCTAAATTAAGATCGACAATATGAATAGGAAAATTATAATTTTAAAAAAAAAATTCAGAAAAAGACAAAAAAAATCAAAAAAAGTAATATTTTTTAACTTATTTTCATTTTTAATAATTTTTTTTTGAAATTTTAAAAAAAATTATAATTTTTAAATTCATCTCAACAAGACTAAATGAAACATTAAAAAATTTTGACTTAATTTTGAAAAAAATTATTAAAGACAAAAAAATTCAGAAAAAAAAATGTGACTTATTATTATTTTTCATGCCGCCAAAATGGGCCATTATAATATCAAAAGTTGATCCCAAAAATGTATAAAAATTATTTTTCTCTTTTGGTCACCGTAAATATTAATAAAATATTAATGCATACATACATACATACATTATACATACATAGGGAGAGAGAGAGGAGAGGAGAGAGGGAGACGGAGGGGAGGGGTCTTCAAATTCTTCGAAAATTCGAGCACAGAAGCAATCAATCTTCAAATCACATAACTTTCTCTGGTAATTCCTATCTTTCTCTTCCTACAAAAGCTGTTTTTGAATCAATTTAGCCTTTGTGAAGCATATTCAAAGCATCTAATTGGAACTACTACTGTTAATGCGAGCAATTAGGGTTTCGATTTGTGGTTAATGGAAATTGTTTTTGCATGTTTTCTTTCCTGTTATATTAGTATTTCTTATTCGTAATTTGAATTTACTTGTATATATATACGTAGATTATGTTAGTGTTTTTTTTTGTAGCTAGATTTATTTTTTTGTGGAGTGGTCGCACCATTAATATTGTCACAAGCCCATTTTTGTTTTCACATGAAATTTCAAAGTTTTTTGGTTCCTGAGAAAAATTTGCAGAATAAAAGGAAATGAAATGTGAATTTTTAGTTTTGTGTTGAGCTTTGAAGGGGAAAAAAAGAAGAAGAAGAATTGCACTCAATTGAGATTGACACAACAATTTTGGCTAGCTAGTTGAGTTTTACATAAATTTTGAAATGCCATGTTCAACTAAAGAAAAAAATGACCCAATATATTTTTCTTGGCTCTCTAAATGTTTTCTTCTTATTTATTTATTTATTTATTTTGTGGGTACATTTGGGGCAGAAGCCAAAAAATGAAAAAAAGACTCGACTGATTCTTCCTCTAGTCAACATGATTATTTTGGCTATCCAGTTGAGTGTTTCCGGTTTGGAAATGCTGTGTGACTGAATAAGATTAATGGAGAAAGGGTTTAAAAAAAAAAGGCCCAATTAGTACACATTAATCTGTGTTTGGGAGGAGAAAGATTGGGTACACACCTAACCTTTGGCATAGTGCACAAAGTAGTTGTCCCGAGATTTGAACCCATAATCTCAAGATTATTAGGCCAAGGTTTTGCCATTGAACCATTGGTCACCCCTATTAATGGAGAAAGGGTATTAAGATATATTTTGAAGGAACACTACGTTTTTAAGCGTGGTTTTTGATATCATGGATCGATTGGTTTCTCTTACCTTATCATCATTTTAGTGTAGGCAAACCCATCTGAATGTCCCTGTCATATGGTTAAATATTGTAGAAATCAATGGCTGTGTTTGGCAGAGCTTTTAAGAGTGATACATTAACTAAAAATTTGTTGGGTTTGTGTCCAAACATGTTTTTGAGAATTGTATTTTCGAAACCACACCAAACAGGTGTTATAATCTTAGAATCATAGTAACTTTTTTTCGGGTGTTACATGATATCTTTTGTTGATTTTGGTTATCTTTCTGGCTGCATGTTCTGAATAGTGCACTTGGTTTTGTCGGGTAGATTCTTCTGAGAGTTCTTGTTCTTCTGGGAGTTCTTGTGCTATCCTTAATGGGTGCTCCTAAGCAAAAATGGACACAAGAAGAAGAAGCAGCTCTTAAAGCTGGTGTCATTAAGCATGGGGCAGGCAAGTGGCGTACAATACTTAAAGATCCGGAATTTAGTGGCGTCTTGTATTTACGTTCAAATGTTGATCTCAAGGTATGTCTTAAACTTTATTTGTTTGTTTTTAGATGGTGTATTTTCCTAAAAATAAATTAGTTATTTGTTGAGCCATGATGATGACCATTTAGAAAAGTCCTTTACAATATATTAGCTGTTGTTGTGTACAGTGTACCAATTTGGTTTTATGTGGATTAGGACAAATGGAGAAACATGAGTGTAATGGCGAATGGATGGGGCTCCAGAGAAAAGGCTAGGTTAGCCCTTAAAAGGATGCAGCCTGCCCCTAAACAGGATGAGAACCCTATGGCTCCTAGTACATCAGTTGAAAGTGATGAAGAAATTGATGATGTTAAGCGTCTTGCAGTTTCTAGTGGTTCTCTGCAGATTGGTGTTCCAAAAAGATCAATCATAAGGTTAGACATTGTTCTTATTATTTTAGCTAGTGTTTTCTTATTTCCATAATTTTAACATGTTGATGTGATTTGCTTGAGCAATTCTGTAACAGTGACAGCTGTAAGATTTTGGTTTTGGTTTTAGAATATATATTTTTTATGTTATTGTGGACTTTGATTATAACTTTGGGGGTGAATTAATCTAAATCAGTTTGTTATATTACTGTGCTAATTAGACTCTTGGTTGGACTGAAAGTGTATCCAAAACTGACTGAAGTTTGCATTATTGACAATTGTACAACATAAATTCAGTTATTGTTTTATTTGGTATTTTTTATGCATGGATCAGCCTGTGTTTGAGTTCTTGCTCTCAATACTGCTTCCTCTAGAAGAAATTATAGATGCACGACCAGTGTTTTTAAAGGCTCAAGGTGCACTAAGGCGCTGAAGGTCTCTCGGGGGCCTAGGCGCAAGGCGAGGCGCGGGCTTTATTGAAGCAAGGCGTACAATCTTAGTAAAAAATAGATAAATTAACATAAACTAATCATTCGCAGTACTAAGACAATTTTTTTAAAAATAAAAGTAATCAAGACAAAGGGTGTGGAAAACAAATTGAAAATAATTTGTAATTTCAGTGTAATGTAATGTGTGATTAATTAATTATTTGTAATTTTTTTTCCTTAACAGAGAAAGGAAAAAAAACTGGCCACCAGTGTAATATAATTTGTAATTTCAGTGTAAAATAATTTATAATTTAAGTATAATATATATTATATAAGATATAAGATAATATATACTTATATATAAGATATAGATAAAACAGAGACTAGATAAGACAGAGAGAAGCCGAGAGAGAGAAAGAGAGAAGAGAGAGAGAGATCGCGAGCTCACGAGAGGCGAAGGCGAGAGAGATAGAGAGAGCGATCGAAGTCGAAGGGAGGTCAAGTCGTCGAAGTTGAGAAGATGAAGTCAACGGGAGGTCGTCGAAATCGAGAAGAAGAAGTCGGCGAAGTCGAAGATATATACTTATATATAAGATATAGATAAAACAGAGACTAGATAAGACAGAGAGAAGCAGAGAGAGAGAAAGAGAGAAGAGAGAAGAGAGAAGAGAGAGAGAGATCGCGAGCTCACGAGAGGCGAAGGCGAGAGAGATAGAGAGAGCGATCGAAGTCGAAGGGAGGTCAAGTCGTCGAAGTTGAGAAGATGAAGTCAACGGGAGGTCGTCGAAATCGAGAAGAAGAAGTCGGCGAAGTCGAAGGGAGGCCGTTGAAGTTGTCGCTGACCAGGTTTGTTCTCCTTTACTCTTCTCTTTCCTTTTTTCTCCTTTACTCTTCTTCTCTTTTGTGTACTCTTCTCGCTGCCGTGTTGTATTACATGAGTTGTAATACTAGTTGGAGCCTCTCCTACACAGATCACAGCCGTTAGATCAGATTCAAGAAGAAGAAAAAAAAAAGCCCCTTAGGCTCGCGCCTTGCGCCTCGCTGTGCCTAGTCCAAGTCGCGTCCAAGGCGCGCGACTCTTCAAACGCGCCTTGCCTAGGTCCCCTTCAGGCGCAATGGGTGCGCCTCGCTGCACCTTGCGCCTAGGCGCGCTTTTCACAACACTGTGCACGACACATGTTCGGCCTTAAAAATTGAAGATATGTAAGGTAATTTGGTGATCTTGATCCAGTGTTACTAACAATGAACCCTAGAAAGTTTTAATAAAAGTAATAACTACGTTTATCTTTCTTACACTAAATAACAATGCAACTAGGTCTTTCAATTAACTTGAGTCCCCTTGTTAGTCCTTTACATATAGATTTCAGACTTAAAAAGAACTGACCCCACCACACCAGCCATCTAAGTTTTATGGCTAATGGCTAATCTTAAAAAACAATTTCTATCATTGCATTTATAGGCCTTCATGCATCTTCCTATGATGATACAATTCATAAGTCCATATGAGTGCTTGAGAATCCTTCCGTATTTTGTCTTGTTAAGGACTAACTAACAGGTTTCTTCGTCTCCCGCTGCCCTTTTAAAGTCTCAGACTCCTTACCATCATAATTAATTGCACATTGAAGTCTGTTAATTTCTTGTCCTTCCTAGAAGATTAAATCTCCCTGACCTTCTCCTTTTTAAAATCAACCCATTCACTGCAGGAGAAATTATACCATTTATACTTAACTTTCAATTCTTACACCTCGCTATCGAGTCTGGTAGCATTCATTTTGATGTTTAAGCATATTAAACTTGTGATGCAATCCAGTGGAGAATTTCACAGATCTAGTAAATCAAATTTTAAGTGGTCTTTGATTTACTGCTTAGACATCTGTCACTACAACACTATAATTGGACCTTTAAAACAAGCCAGAGAAAAGTGATCAGTTAAAGCAGAGGGAAGCAGAGATAGAGAGAAAAAAAGGTAGTGTTTGAAGAAGGAAGAAATTGTTCATTTTGTAATTGAAAAGTTAAAATCCTAAAACGTTGAAATAAAGAAATAATGTACAAACAGTGTTGCGAAAACTTTAAAATTGATGTTTACATTTAAGTAGTAAAATTTAGCAAGAATTCAATAGTTTGATTTTGGAATGTGTTCACATTCTCACTCATTGATTGATATGATTACATTGTAATAGTAATTTGAAAACCCATATGATGGACGGCCAAGAAAAAGGAATGTACGTGTTTGGCAAATGCTGTTTTTTTTGTTGTTTTTTATTTTATTTTATTTTTTGGGTTGGGGGGGGAGTTGGTGCTAATGGACAGAGTGTGAAGGCTAATTGAAGTTGGTGCTAATGGACAGAGTGTAAGGCATTTACTAAAAAAACTGATGCATTTGACAAACTACTAAAAAAGTTGTTTTTGTGCCTGCCTTCTGTTTTTTTTTAAAAAAGCTGAGCTTTTTGGGTTTGTCATCTGAAAAGCATTTGCCAAACAAAATTGGCTTTTGGTCTAAAAGGGCAAAAAAGTTGCTAAAACGTGTTTGCCAAACAGGGGCATGTGTCTATAGACAAATGCATGTGAGCATGTGTGTCATACCTGGAGGAATCTCCCTTCCAATTTGATCCACCAAAATCCTTCAATAATTAGGTATTTATTGATTTAAATAATAAGATACCATATATTAACAATGAAACTATCACATGGACCCCTGTTGTTGGACTGAATGCAGATAGATTTCAGAACTTGTGATTACTCATAGAATTTCTGCATTCATTTATTATCTCTCTCAAAAGGTCAGTAAATTTTTTCCAACCAATGTTAATATGAAATCCTCATATGTGCATCTTGCATTTTATCATGTTGTTTACAATATCTGGTATTAGCTGCATGAAACTAATTTGGATTTTCACGTTCTGATTTGTGATTGTAAGTTTGTTTACAATTTAGACAAGGTTGCTGCAGTGAATTAAAGTTATATAGGTTGGGTAATGTCTCTCTTCAGTTCTGCTTTCAATGTGATTATTTAAACACTGAGTAATGCTTCATTCTCATTGTAATAGGTTGGACAATCTTATCATGGATGCTTTAAACAACTTGAAGGAGCCTGGTGGTTCTAATAAGACTGCTATAGCTACATACATAGAGGTAATTTTACATTCTATTCCAAATATTTTGGTAGTTTATGATCATCTACTATATAATCACATATTTTAGGCATCAATTTGCCTAATTGTAAGCATGCAAGGATTGTATGCTGAGCTAATTCGGTTCTCCTTAAGCGTAAGTACCAATAATGATTTGACTTGTGGGCACTTGATGGCATTGCAACTGGATTTTTCCAAGTGGGCCATTTAATTTATTTCAGTAGTAAGTCTTGCTAGGAATCTTTTTCTAAAAGCATTGTATTTTCTCATTAATGTTGTTGTCTAATGGTAAGATAATTTATGATAGCAAGTGTTTTATTAACAATCTTTTATCAATAAGATTGTATAATATGCGGAGATCTATTTTGTATGGTAGGATGACCATTGGTAGGTTTCCTCTTATTATTACTAGGATGAAATTTTTTAGAGAGGTTTTCCTTCCCTTTACATGCAAATTTAACTCCCACTCACTATGCCAATGGGGAAAAAGAGCAAGTCCTCATCTGTGCACATTGAGAGTTGAGGTTGTCTATGTTTGTTCTCGTAATATATTCACTTTTCTTGTAATTTTCTTTTCACTGTTTAATCACTATCATTGTGATTAAATACCATTTGACCTATTGAATGGCAACCAATTGCTATATTAATCATGCCAATACTTTCTAAGACGTTGTTTTAATATAAGATTTGACCTTCACCTCTTTTTTCTGTATTCATTCAAATAGTTATTATTGTTTTTTCCTTCATAGGAACAATACTGGGCTCCTCCAAACTTCAAACGATCATTGTCAGCGAAATTGAAGTTTTTGACTGCTAGTGGGAAATTAATTAAGGTAATTATATAGCCCATGTGTGAGGTGCATGATTTCAAATTTACTGGTCGCAACTAACTTTACTTGGATGCTATGAAGCTAATTGGGCTACATTATATCTTAAGCATGCTATTCTTAGTTGTAGCTCATAGAATGTTAACTTGGAATATTTATTTTGTGCCTGAGTATGCCAATCTGCTTTGTATTGTTGAACAACCCATGCTTAACCAGGGTGAAAAATAACTGAAGGGTTGACTTGGACTGTTGAATGGGTAAGAATTATTTATGAATGTATACTAAAGTAAATGGTTGTATTTTCTTAATAGGATGAAGAAATCATTGTATGGATTCTTTTTCTTTTTTTCTAATAAAATTTCTTACTAAAGCGGAATGTGTTTGATAATATTGAGAATCTCGTTCCCACACATGCCTACCGGAATGTCACATTCTTTGACTGTTTAACAGTGAAAAAGAAATTTGGGCTCAGAGAGTTTATAAACTTGTATGATTTTCCCGGTTTTCTTTGCTGATTACTACAAATGTTTTGATGACTTCACTGTAGTATCTTGTTGGTAATGAGATTCTCATTCCTTCTCTTCCATTCCTGCCATCTTTATGAGGAAGTTATTGCCTTGTAGGCTTATAGAACCAAAACTGACTTGGTTTGGTTATTTGCTTATGGTTTTGATGATAATATTAGCCATATTTTTTTTCATTGAAGATGAAACGGAAGTACAGAATAGCAACACCTTCAACATTATCAGATAAAAGAAGAAACCTGTCTGGGCTACTCCTGGAGGGAAGGCAGAGGACTTCGCCAAAAATTGACAAGGATGATAACAATATTCTAACTAAAGCTCAGGTTGATTTGGAATTGGCTAGGATGAGGAGTATGAATCCACAAGAGGCTGCTGTAGCTGCTGCCCAAGCAGTTGCAGAAGCAGAAGCTGCTATAGCAGAAGCTGAAGAGGCAGCACGGGAGGCAGAAGCAGCGGAAGCTGATGCAGAAGCAGCACAAGCTTTTGCAGAAGCAGCATTGAAGACACTAAAAGGACGAAACATTAACACTCCAAGGATGGTAAAGTCTTTGTCTAACCGCTTCTATCTTTTCTTGAGCATTTTGTATTTTATTTAATTGAGTTGCTTGAGAAGCTCAGTCGAGGGTTCTTAGTTGCATAAGGAAACATCTGATCATTATCATCTCTTTCTTCTTTAATAATCCTTTATTTCTTTTTATTATTAAAGAAGAACCTTGTATATTCACTTCATGGTCATTTTCATATATGTACTTATGTAAGCACACAAGTATTGAATGCAGCCTCAGTTTTTAAAGGATCTTTAGGTATTTTATATTTGGTCAGGCTGTAGCTGAAAATTGATAGAAACCCCACAGGCAAAACAATCAGATTTCTGCTGTCTATTTATTTATTTTCTTTTTCCTTTTTATTGGAGATGTTTACTTTTTGACATATTTATGCGATGTTTTGCAACATTTACTTAAAAATGTGGAAAAACAGTTAAATCTTTCTATTAAAAAAAATTAAAGAAAATATCAACACTCAGATAATCAGATTTTTTAATTTATTTATCAGCATCAGGTAGTCAGATCGACTTGGCAAAACCACTAATATAAAGATTGAGGACTGAATGAAACAGCCAGAACTATATGTTTAACATTTGCCATTTAGAATATTCCTAAGACTTTAAGGCCTTGTTTGGGGTACTCTAAAAAATCCAAAAAATCAAAAAGTCATTATCCTATTTAAGTCATATCATCTTATTTAAGTCACATCACCTCTCTACTACATCACTTCAAACCCAATCCATATTTCACAAAAAATCTAAAAATGCACTTATTTAGATCATCCCAAACCATCCCTAAATACGACATCATATGGTTAGGACATTTTGGGATATATCTTTAGGACCTTAGCATGTGTTATGAGTTCACCCATTTCCGTTATATATATATATATATACATGTCTTTCTTTTTGTTGGTGACATTTTATCTACTTTTTGACTTTTATCTTTGTAAAAATGTGCAGATGGTTCATGCTTGATGGAATTTGACAAAATGGGCTATCCAAATCAATAAACTAGAGTTTTGTTTGGATCAACACCCAACATAGATATATGTATGTTGTTTGCCAACATCTGTAGTTGTAGATATGGTAACATTTCTCAGCTGGTGAAATGCAGGATGTGCCTTATTGTCGAATTCTAGTGAATCAGTGCAGTCATCCGAAGCCTCCTCTTTTGGCAGCTTATTTATTTCAAAACTTTTGCATATGCTTTTTAGTTTTTCTGTTTCAGGGATGTTAATCCATTGCAGGTTTTGTGGAAACTTGTGGAGAAACTAGGAAATACAAAGAAACAGTAGAAGTTGGATTCAAATGTGATTTTTGTTTTTGACAAATAATTAAGTTTCAATAAAATAAAGGCATTAACCCGTGTACAAAAATGGCGCATACCAAAGTGAGATATTTCTTATTGAGTGCTTCCTGTCCATTTATTGTTTTGTTTTTCAGATAGAAGTGAATAAACTGATGTGAACTGTGGGGCGTTTGGATTCGAAAGAGTTGTTTCATACTTTCGATTATCAATTATCAGTCCGGAATATGAGTTTGGTCTACTGGTTTATTTCTTTTACCCATTGATAAATTATTCTCCATTCAGTTTATTTACAGGGAGGAATTAAGAAAAAAATATTTGACCCATCATTTTTATTTTGGTATGAATGTCATATGCTTCATTTTGAAGGTCAAGTTCAAGTAGAGTACAATAACTTGAGGGAACTTTCTATTTCTACACATAATTTGCTCTCAGTGTACACGGCTTTTGTGGTTCGGAAATTATCTTCCATATAAAACTATTTGGTTCAGATGTATCTTTGGTTGGGAAATCAACTTTCAAATCAACGAGTTTTGTTCGAAAAATAACTTTTGAATCAAAAATTTGCACAAAAAGTGGGAAATGATACAAAAATAAAAGCTCTCGTAATTCGACTATCGTTTAATACAAGGTTCCATTACTATTTATGTTTACAGTTTTATTTTATGTTTTTATATAATGTATAAAAAAAATAAAAACGCAAGTTTATGTTTGTTTTTGTTTTCAAAAAGCATATATATAAACAATAAAAATTTTTTGTTAAATTTATATAAAAATATAAAGTATTATCAATTGTTTAAATGTAAGATTTTATTTATTTCCCTCTCCCCTACCTCCTCAGCCATCATTGAGAGACGTGGGTGCATTTAGTAACACTCATTTTGATTAAGGAGTGGAAGATTTTAATATGAAACATTAATACAATACAAATTATAAATAAGATTAACGGATTAGGATTGAATACTTTTATACATGAATTTAATGAATAATACTATATGTACCAATTAGTATATTAACTAGCGTACTAATTAATGATGTGACATAATTTAAGAGCTTTTTGATATTTGTAATGTGATTAATAAGTGTGGTCATAATAATGTCATAACTAGTATTGGTACACTAGTTACTAATTGGTGCATATTAAGTATGCAATTAATATTTCATTAAATGGACATATTTATTCATTGTGTTATGTCATAATTAGATTCCGGTGGTACTATATGCACTAATTAGTGTACTAACTAGTATACCAACACTAGTTATGACATTATTATTGATCCCACTCATCAATCACATTACAAATACCAAAAACTCTTAAATCATGCCACATCATCAATTGGTACACTAGTTAATATACTGATTAGTACATATAGCATTATTCATATTATTTTCATTAAAAAATGTCATGACTTGTTTAAAGCTCTTATGAAACCTATTAAGTTGAATAAAAAATATAATTTTAGAATCAATATAGTAATTTTGTTTCCCAAAATTGACATAATTTAATCAGTTCATTTACTATCTAATAAATAAAAAATAGGATTTAGTTTTGAAATTTTTTTTAAGGTCCCTGATATTAAGATTTTATAACATAAAGAACATCAAATATTTTAATAATGTCTAAAATCCCTCAAATCAAACCAGAGAAAATTCAACTAGAGAAATTCTCTGATCCAAACCAGAGAAAATTCAATCCAGAGAAATTCACTGTGCAAATTTTCTTTTCTTTGGTCAAATTTTCTCTGGACTTCACAGAGAAATTCTAGTTCACAGAGAATTTCTTTGGTGACTTCACAGAGAAATTTTCTCCAAATCAGAGAAATTTCCAAATTTCTCTAGCCAAATCACATACTCACCCTGTGATTTTCTCTGGCCATCATCTATCATCTCTGTGGTAAACAACAATCAACAGTTAATATTGAAATCACTTTTCTTTTACAAACGCATTCATATAATCAAATCCTTAGAATTCATTACTTCTGTAGAATCAAAATCAATCAACAATAAAACCAATTCACAAATTCATCAAACACAAATAAGTCATCAATTTACACAAATATAAAATTTCCCTTTTAAATATGAATACACAAAACATATGTGACCTGGGTTACTTCTGTAGATCTATGGATCTGAGGTCGATCTGCAAATCTCCTACGACAACTCGACGGCGAGGAAGCACGACAATAGATCCAGAAGGAGAGAGGAAGACAAAAGGGATGGTGGTTAGTTGGCAGCACTACGGCGACAAAGGTGAAGAGAGAGAGAGAGAGACAACAGCGTAGGAAAGAGAGAGGTGGTGTATGCGACGAATGAGGTAGATAAATGCAGTGGTTTGCGACAAATGAAAAAGAGATAAGGGTTGAGAAACGCGGAGGAGAAGATTGAGGAGGCAGCGGTGGTTGGTGGTACCGAGAGAAAGGAAATGAGAGTGGTTGAAGAGAGAGAAGTAATGAGGAGGTCTGGATATGAAAGAAATGAGAGAGAGAGTTTTAGAGAGAGACGATATGCAGAGGTTGAGAACAAGAATAAATAAGAGAAAATAGAGAGAGAGAGCGGGGGTGAGGGACTTGTACATTATAAAATAATATTGTGGATCTCTTCCATTACTAAAAATGGAAGATAGACCTTAAACTAATTTTTCCTTTATTTTTAAAAAAATTACAAAAATAGAATTAAGTTGAAATTAAATATTTTTATGAACAATTTGATTTAGTAAAAGCTTAGTTTATAAAACTCAGTGAATTTTACCCCTCTATATTTGATATTTTTAAATCAAATATATAATTTTGATACAAGGATATATATAAAAAAATGATTAGTTTAATACACAAGCCGCACAGGAACACGGACTCGACAAATTTTGTCAACCATATTTTGACAAGAGATGTTAGTGTTATTTTAAAGGGTGTATCTGTAAACGGATTGAACCATACTGTTAAGTCTCGTAGGTTGACTATGAAATTTGTATCAATAATTCGAATCGTTTAATATATAAAATTTATTGAGTATTTTATTTTTATAAAAAATTATGTTGATCGAATTTAATTACTAGTTCGAATTATTGATGTGGGCTCTGTGATAGTCCCACAAAGGCTCAAGAGTACGGTCTAGTTCGAAACTAAACGGGAGCCGAGCGTTACCTTATTTTAAAAATTTAAGTTGTATTTTGTTTACTAAAACGAAACGGAATGAAATGATCATTCTATCAAAATATTTATTTTTATATTTAATTGACTAATAAAATAACAATAGAATATATTACAAATGAAATTATCATTTACCATTTTAAAGATATATTCATTCATTCTATTTCATTCCAGGGATACAAATGAATTAGGTTTTTTTTTTGGTTTGTGATAAATATGGAAAATATTATGGTGTTAGCGTAATATCTCTTAAAACTCCGCTGGTTACAGCTATTATTCGTCTCTTGCAGAAAATCGCAGCGGGGAGAGAGAGAGAGATAGACGCCATAGATTTTCCTCCAAACACCATAATCAATTCTCTCTCTTTCTCTCTCCTATCAGCTGCTAGTCTTTCTCGTTGATGTTCAGTTCTAACCTTTTCGAATCTCTTTCAGGTAACCTCTTTGGCTCTGAATTCTTTCCTTCTATACGTATATACCCACACATATACCCATACACATACATATATGTATAGCATTTGATATCTCTGCGTTCCTTTCTTTGAAAATTCAAGTCCCTGATATCATAATGTTAAGATAGTTTCTGTTGTTGATTTATTGTAGTTAATTTGTCTTTAGTTCTGTTTGATTTGACGGAAAATTTATTTAGGGCATGTTTGGTCGCGGAACTTGAATTATTTTAATTTTAATTGACTGATTTAAAGTTTTCAAATTTATAATTGGGTACAGTATAGTTTTTTGAATTTCTCCATTTTACATTTTTTTTTTTTTGGTTGAAAGAAATAAACACATTTAATTTAAATGTTGACAAAGAAAGTAAATTATAGGTTTTTGAGGCCTTTGTGTTTTCTTTTTCTACAGCCCAAGCCAATAATTGTGTAATTTGTGAATGAACCAATTCTAAAATGGCCCATTAGAAGATAACTGGTATTATTTATTAGATATTGCTGTTTGCTTAGTAAATAACTTTTACTTATATTGGACATTGTTGTATACAACTGAGTTAATTCAAAATATAAGTGGGTTTACATTTTATTTTGTTGAAAGAAATGAACACATTAAAATGTTCACAAAGAAAGTAAATTTATAGATTTACAAGGTGTGCCTAGAATTATCTAATATGTGAATGAACCAATTCTAAAATGGCCCAATGCACATTTGTGGTGCAACCAAATTAGCCCTTAGAAGATAATTGGTAAGATTAATTAGATATGGGCAGTTTGATTATGAAATAACTTTTACTCATGTTGGATACTGTTGAATCTTTGTAGATGAATTTCATTTTATGCAGAAGCTTCTCTGTTGAAACATTGGGGCATGAAATCTCCAAAAAATTGAAACTTACATATTTCTTACTTTACTCCACCAGATTCCTTGGGAGAGACTGGATAATCTACTAGTATGTAACTTGTAAATTTCTGAAAGTGCTGGTTTGATTTGAGTTAATCTTGCTATAGAATTAGCATTGTGTTCTCTTATAACTGAATAGAATTTGAGGTTAGATAAAAAAGTTAGGTCAGTTGCATATATTGTTATTGTCTGTGGGTTTTTGGTTGTCTGTATTTGATAGGATGGTAAATAATCTGTCAGGTTTTTCTTGATTGTATCTAATGAATACAATTTTCTTTCAGATATGGACGATCAGTTGAATGATAATGAGTCCTTAATTGCTCACATTCAACAGGTGGAGCATGGTATGTACATTTTTTGTTCCCTGGATCCATAATAACTTAATTTAACACTTACTATACTCATGCTGGTAAGGTGGCTTTTCAAGAATGTTATGTTAACCTAATTGACTTTGATCCTGTCTTACAATTTACAATTCTTACGTGAATATTACATGGTCATGATACATACTCATCCTCTCACATAAAAAAAAAGAAGAAGAAAGGGACAACATTTATATATGTAGATCGTGAACTCCTTGTATAGGTGCACATGCATTAACTTGTTATAGAGTAACCATGATGGTTAGAGAACTATTCATCTTAGCATTTTTTTGATATCTTTTACTTCTATTGTCCTTAACCTTACGATGTCACTTTTCATACCTAATTGATGTTTAAGTAAATTATACTTCTAATTTAAAGCCATTGCTTGAGTTACTTATATCAATTTTTTTTTTCATGTACAGTATAAGTGACGTCTAAAGGGTTTCGAATAAGCAGAACTAAGACAGAGTACATGGAGTGTAAATTTAGTAACAGTAACAATGAAAGCAGAGGAGAAGTGAAGATTGAGAACCAAGAACTGCCTAAGAGTGAACATTTTCGTTATTTAGGGTCGATTATCACAACAGCGGGAGAGATTGATGCAGATGTGGCCCATAGGATTAAGGCGGGATGGTGTAAGTGGAGAAGTGCGTCTGGGGTATTGTGCGATAAACGAATACCCACTAGACTAAAAGGTAAGTTTTATAGAACGGCTATTAGACCAGCTATGTTGTATGGGACGGAGTGTTGGGCAACTAAGAAACAACATGTAGATAAGATGAGTGTGACTGAGATGAGGATGCTAAGGTGGATGTGTGGTAAGACTAGACAGGATAGGATTAGGAATGAGTGTATTCGGGAATGGGTAGGAGTAGCACCGATAGAAGATAAGTTGAGAGAGAATCGTTTGAGATGGTTTGGTCATATTCAACGGAGACCAACAGAGGCAGTAGTGAAGAGATGCGATGCTGTAACGGTAGATGGAAGTGTTAGGGGACGGGGTAGGCCTAGATTAACGTTGACTAGCGTTATAAATAGTGATATGAATCTACTTAATTTGACTAATGAAATGGCCTTTGATAGGGCCGCGTGGAGAAGAAGGATTCATGTAGCCGACCCCATTTGATGGGACTTAAGGCTTCGTTTGGTTTGGTTTGGTTTGGTTTGGTTACAGTATAAGTGACGTGCAGATACAATTTATTTTATTATGGTGTATATTTGCATAATATAATAACATAGTCACTACTCTACCCATTGTGGATGGGCAAGCATTTCAACTACAAGTATCATTTAAGCACAATATGGCAAGATTATGGTAAGTCTAAAAGTTACTTACAGAAGGCTATGGTGGAAGAGAAATTACTTGTACCAAAAAAAGGAAGAGAAATTACTGAAATGGAGAAGGAACAAGTAGCAGTTGCTAATTGTAATGCACAAAAATGACTTTGCAAAGCCATATTGGCTTCTTAGGATAAATGTAAAGTAATTATAAAACTTGTATGTGAGCTAAGATGGTATCTCCTGTTCCTCCCCATAGGGAATAGCATGGGAGGGATACAGTTTGAGCAGCCTTGGGGGCATGGAATAGGGGACCTGGTGGCCAGGGCTTCAGGATTTATTGTTGGGTTGTGGGAGATGAAATATCAAATAAATAAAAAAGAGAAGGAAAACCAATTGTAGAAAAGAAATAAAACCGTATTGTTCTTGATATGTGGGCCCCACCCTTGTTGTGAGTAGGCTCTAGAAAATGGTGTCTATAGAACGACTCTTAGGAATTATATGGTCAACATTAGATTTTTTTTCGGAACTGCAGCATGGACGGTAAAGGCACCAGCAGTTGATGTTTATAGAAACACACTTTGGGCATTTATTGTATTGCAATTTATTTTATTTCAGGTCATTGCAGACTTCTCTTATTTGTTTCAGACATTGACAATTATTAGAGTTTCCTTGTTACAATGGAGCATATTCTCAATTTGAGTGGTCTTATGTTGTAGTAGTGACTGACCTTCCAACATGATTGAAATGTGTTAAACAAAGATGTTGGTGGCCCATCTGAGAAGTTCTGGGGTTTACTTACTCTCCCTACTTGGTGGCCCATCTCAAAAATTAGGTTCCATTAAACTTTGAGTCAGAGAGCTAGTCTTAGCTTTTTGCTAAAAGAAAATTTCTCTGAAGAGATTTTCCTCTTTAACTTGCTATAAAAATTCCTCCCGCTGGGAGTATTGTACAGATCCTTATTCACTTATTTTCTTGAAAAAGCACTCTCCAGTTGGCCAACTGACCTGTTGGTTAGCTAATATAGCCTGTCTGCATGTTCAATTTTCAATTGCTTTCAATTTGTCTCTTGTAGTATCATTATCACTATTCCTACATTTAAATGCAATCCATATGAAAGAGAGGGGAAAAGAGATCTTCGAAAGTTCTACAACCATCATTGCATATTCCCCTTAAGTCGCATCAAATTGATTTCGTTTATGGATACTTCACATTTCTGTGGCAAAAAACAGAGCTTCTACTCCCTTTGCAATCCCTGTTAAGCACTTCAGCCAATATCTGAAATCCAAATATTTTCCTATAACTGATTTTGGAACCTGATCATTTTGTTTTCTTTTGAGCCAAACTTGTCTCTTCATCCTGTGCTTAATTGAGTGGATGGAGACAGTGGCAGGATGTGCTGCATTGCACTATATAGTTTACCAACTTAATACAATGCACAGGAATCTTATAAGTTGCTCACTAGATGTAATGTTAATTCACTTGCCCCTCTCAGCTGCTGCATTCTAATTTGATGTGTTGATACTGTTTTGTAGAGCGTGATGAGTTACGTAAAGACATTGAACAGCTGTGTATGCAGCAAGCTGGACCTGGTTACCTTGCTGTGGCTACTCGAATGCATTTTCAGAGGTATATTATTTATCTCAAGTCCATCAGATGAAGTTGTTATCATTAATATTTTTTTTGGTAGGTATGCGTTGGCATTATCTTTTCAAATTGGAAATAAGAATGCATTGTGAATCTATCCCCCCCATTAGGACAGCTGGCTTGGAGCAGGAGATTGAGAGCTTGAAAAAGAAGTTAACTGCTTGCACTAGAGAGAAGTTAAATCTCCAAGAGGAGCTTTCGGAAGCTTACCGTATCAAAGTGAGGCTCCTTACCTTTTTTCACTTTGTTATTTTTTATTTTTGTAAGCACTTGCATAGTCCTACTGCCAACAATCTTACATGTTTCCTATTTTGTCTCAGGGCCAGTTGGCTGATTTACATGCTGCAGAGGTATCAAAGGTATCGCTCTCTTTCTCTCTCTACATCCAGCACATGTGTTCACATTGGAGGTGTTGGCAGGAAGTTAACTTATGAATTATTCACTAATGGAATGGTAGCTATCCTACTAGTCTTAGGTTTTTGGGCAAAGAATGCCTATATATATAAAATCAAGCTTTGCAAGCTCAATATCATTTTTAAGTTCTACGGAATTAGGATAAATGTTTCATTTTGATAAAATGACAAAGGCATCTCTCGGATGAAATGAAAATTGGATTCATATAACAAGTTTGTTTTTTTGACAATAACTCCTTAAAAAAGCACAATGCAAAATGGTAAATGGGACAAAATATAACAAAAATGATTGAGAATCTTTTTAAATTACACTAGACATGGAAGCAAAATTAATTGAAAAATCATAGAGATAATAATTTTTTGTTCCCATATTTGCATTGTCTCCTCTATTCACTTCTCTCCCTTTCTCCTTCCTCCCCTTCTCCTCCCTCCCCTATTTGCAAAACCTTACCCTTTCTCAATCTTTGCAAAAACCCACTCCAAACCAATCCCTTCCTTTTTCAATCTATGCAAAAACCCACTCCAAATCAGTCGTGAATTACATTTGCAAAGTGTGAAAGCCTACTTTGATCTTCATTTCTTCTCTCTTTTATTTTTTTTTATTTTTATTTTGTTGTGTTGTTGATGATGATGAAAGGGACCAATAGTGGATAGACGAGGTTGAGGAAAAATAAGGTTGAGAGCAGCGAAAGGAGATTGAGATGGGATGGAGGAGGTTGGAGATAGTAGATGAAGACCGAGAATGCAGTGAATGAGACTGGGAGTGGATAGGGAAGGGCTAGGGTGGGTTAAGGACAGGATGATAATGATTGGGAAAAGTTTAAGAATAATAGGGGGGAAGTGAGTGAAAAGTTGCTATTAGAGTATCTCTAACGCTAAATTTGAGTAAAGATTTGATTAAAAGTTTTATTTGATAACAAATATTTTAATGTTAAATTTTTAATTTTCATCAAACAACCAGTCAATCGGGGCAGTGGTAGTTTGGCCTAATGTAAATTTTCTTCAAAAATTTTTCAATTCGGTCGTCCACCCGATTGCCCAACTGGTCAAGTTCGGTCAGTTGTCCACTCAGTTGATCGGCCAGTCATCCATCCGATCATCCACCAACGATCACTATTGAGATTTGATAAAAGGTTAAACGCTCCCTTAATTTAATGAAATTTTTAGTTTTCCTCTCATTTGATACGGGTTTGATGCCACGATTGGAGCCCAAAAAGTAGCGTGTTTCATCAAATTTAAATTTGATGACAAATCTAATACTAGGGTTGGAGATGGTTTAAGCCTCAATTATTTCTCTTTCGTTTGTTAATCTAAAGCTTACTAGCTGAGTACGATTTTGCCTAAATTTTTTCTTATATAATATATATATATATATATATAAGATATAATATATACTTATACATATTAATCAAAAAAAAAAAGTAGATAAAATAAAATAAAAAAGTTAATAGAAACACATTTATTTAAAAATATAATAATTAAATAAAATAATTAACTTGTATTAAAATAAAAAAATATATATAATTTTTTTTTTGCTGTGTCCTCAGCCGTGTCCATGTCCGTGTCCCTATTTTTTAAAAATTGCCATGTCCCGTGTTTGTATCCGTATCCGTGTCCGTGTCCGTGTCCGTGCTTCATAAGTCATCATCATCATTCTTAATTTTTTATTGGTCCAATTGACTTATGTTAAATAATATTTAAAAGGTTTAAACCGACCTGGCCCACTCACTGTCCATTCAGTGGGAGCAACTCCATACTTTCCTTTTGGTGCCTCCAATGTTGAAATTATGTCCCCACCCTAGGGTATGTGTCTAATGTAAGCAATGCTAATGGTTAAGGTTTGAAAAAATTCATTGGTGCTGGACATGCCAGATTTCATGCCGTGACGGTGTCTGACACGGGGACACGCCGGGGACACGTACAGGACACGCCGGGTGGCGTGTCCCTTTAATTAAATTTTTTTTTTTTCAGGGGACACGGCGGAGACATGGCGGGGACACGACGGGGGCACGCGTGTCCACCAAATCTGGACATGCGTGTCCAAATCTGGACTCAGAGCAAAAGAGAAGAGTAAAGGAGAAGAGTAAGGTCAAGAGACAAACCTAGACGTCGATCTCCATCCAGTTGACCACCATAAATCTCTCTTTCTCGCCTATTGACCTCCATCCATTACCTCGACCTCTATCCAGTCGACCACCGTAAATCTCTCTCTCCTCTCGCCTTCCCTCTCTCTCGCTCTCTCTGCTCTCGCGTCTTGCGTCGATCGCTCTCTCTTTGCTCTCGCGTCTCGCATCTTTCTCTCTCTCTTGCTCTTGCGTCGATTGCGTCGATCTCTGCTCTGGAGTCTCTCTCTCTCTCTCTGCTCTGATCTGATTCATATGTATAATATTAATAAATATATGTATATTATATAGATATATTAGGTATAATATGTCTAATATATATTAGATATATTAATATAAAAAAAATATAATATATATATATATATTTATTAGGTTTAATATATATATATATATGTTTATTTATTTAATATTAGTAAAAAAATATATTAGGTATAATATATATATGTATGTATTTATTTAATATTAATAAAAAGGCATATCTTATATCTTATATAATATATAAATATAAGATATAATATATACTTATATATATTAATAAATAAAAAAAAGTAAAAAAATTAAAATAAAAAAATTAATAGAATTATGTTTATTTAAAAATATTATAATAAAATAAAATAATTAACTTGTATTAAAATAAAATATTTATAATAAAAAAAATTTGCCGTGTCCCCAGCCGTGTCCGTGTCCCCATTTTTTTAAAATTACCGTGTCCCGTGTCCGTGTCCGTGCTTCATAGGTGCTGATCATTTTATGGGTTTTGCTAGCTGCCTATGGATCTGTCAAGTAATACATTTATGATGAATGGTTCAGTCTTTTTATTATTTATTTATTTATTCTTGTGGTTTTGAGGGATAGTAGAGGGTAATTCAGATATGAATTACCTCAGTTCAGTCCCCATTAGATGGTATCATTGAAAAATGTTCTCTCTTGCTCTTTGTTGAGAGAGTTGGTAGGTGAGGAGATGTTTGAGTGGCGGGAAAAAGAACATGTTAGGCTCTATGCTGTAGTTCATCCCAGCTAGGTTTTGAAGCACTGGAAGCCCCAAGTTTAGCAGCTGACACCGTAGAATGTTCAAATACTTCTCTACCTTTGTATCCTGTGTTAGAGGGCATCAGTTTCCAGCATATGCCTTGCTGTCTACATTTGGAAATACTGTAATTTAGGTATTTTTCTTTAATCAAGAAAATTGTAAGGTTACGTTCTTATAATTGGTGTTGAATATTATTATTGTTTTTTAATAAGTGAGATTTTATTACAAAAAAAGAATAGATATACAACAAGGCTCAAAACACGCTCTGAAAGGGCACAAACATGCCATAAGGCAAGATCCAAAGAAGCCGAGATCACTAAAGAAGTAAAATTCTAAGTCTCTAACAATCCTAGAGTCTAGCTCACCAAACAAGGAAGAATGAGAATCCTGTCACAACCCGAGAGGCTAGGTTATGCTAGGTAACATTAGCACTCCCTCCTTGTCCATGCTTTGTAGAATTTAGATCAGTGATTGCAAGCATTTGGTTTGACTTCATTGGCTTTGACAGACTACTGTGTTCTTTTGCTGCTCTGAGTTTACGAGTCCTATTATCAATGAAATTGCCCTCTTTGTTACTTCTGTAGGGTGTTATGCATGAAAATGAAGGTTTGAGTTTGAGGCTGGGGCCCTATCAATGAAGCCAGAGGTTGCATTTGCACCTAGTCCCCGATATTGATGTGACCAATGGTGGATATGGCCTTTAATTGGAGTGCAGAGTAACTAATGCAATAAGGAAAATTAGTGTCTTTAGGCCATGTTTGATTCACAAGATTAATAGTGAAGGTATTAATAATTCTATCAAATAAGTGTGATATTTACTATCCAATTGGATTAGTAGGATAAATTATCGTCTTGCCCAATGTTTGATTTGCATTGGATAAGAAAATATATGAATGTAGGATTACAACTATATTTATCTTTTTTTCCTATCTTACCTTTCAGCAATGTTTCTTCACAATCTTATTTTATCAAAATTTCTTCATAAACATGGTTTTGAAAAAAATTATAAATAAATAAATAAAAACAATATACGAAGGCCATGTTTGGTTTGTTATTTAATTTAATTTTTTATAAAAAAATATAAACTAATTTGATAAAATAAATATCAGAAAATATTTTTAGATTTTAAAAAAATATTTTTAGCCTTCTAAAATAAAAAATTATATTAAAATAGTTCGAATGTAAAATGAAGGAATTTAGGGTTGGGATTTAGGAGGAAGAAGAAGAAGAAGAATAAGAAGAAAGAGAAATTTTATATATATTGAATAATCATAGTTCCTCAACTTTACATTAGTCAAATATATATACAAACCCTAACATAGCAATATGACTATCGTACTCTCAACTTAAGTAAATATTAACAAAATAACAAAATAAGTATTCTAACACTCTTCCTCAAGCTGGAGCATAGTGATCGAACATGCCCAGCTTGACGGATAAACGATGAAACGAAGGCCGAGTCAAAGGCTTGGTTAGAATATCACCCAATTGATCCTCATAATGAACATAAGAAGTCACAAGTTGTTTGCGAAGTAAGAGATCACGAATAAAATGGCAATCAACTTCGATATGTTTGGTGTGTTCATGAAACATAGGATTATTGGCAATGAAGATAGCAGCCTGATTGTCACAAGATATGGTCATAGGAGTGGTAACAGAAAAGCCAAAATCTTGGAGAGGAGACTGAACACAGAGCATCTCAGAAGCAGTATGAGCCATGGCATGATACTCAGCCTCGACACTAGAACGAGCAACAACAGTCTGTTTCTTGCTACGTCAAGTAATAAGATTAC